GAAAGGAAACTAACTATTCATTTTTAGTAAGTACTTTTTTATGTTTTCTTGCATACCAGTTCATTGTCCGAGATCGTGTATATATTTATTATTGCCGATTTTACTATTTAGGAAATATCACATTACCAAACAATCTTTATTTCTCAATTGGCGGTGTGACGCAGAAAGTTGTGGGACTAGGCGACTTACACCATACTAATACTAATACTAATACTAATACATGGAAAGTTGTGCCGGATCGCCAAATTAAATTTCTTCAATATAAGAAATGATCAACAAATAGCGTTTATGATTAATTTTGTTAAAATATAAAATGACCGATAACATACATGTTGCCAGCGATTTAGCAAAAAATCAACTTTATTCGGATGTTGCACCCGAAGATCTAAAATGGACTTTAGCCTCTGGCTCTTCCACCGAAACTCAAACCTTTTATTTGTCAACTAAAGAAGGACATTTTGCTTTTGTTCAAATGATTCATTCAAACATCGGGTAAGTTATTTTAGTATAAAATAATTTAATTATGAAAAAAAATTTATCCGTCTTTATATAATTTAAAAACAATTTAGATTATGGTATCCTACAATTCAATTCACAGCAAGATTTTTTGGTGAAGGAATCAATACCTTTAAGTCAGTTAACATGTCTAATTTTAAACTTTCAGAAGATAGATGTTCGGCATCAGCAGATAATATGTCAATTGAACTTAATCCAGAACACAATAAATATAAAGTGAGCTTGCAACATGAACAAGAATTGATAGTTTCATTCGAGTTTGAACGTGTGGATCGAGGATATAAAATTGGCGAAGGTAAAACTTATTTTGGAGTAGATAGATCATCAGGATTTGTGGAACATAAGTTTTGGCCAAAAGGTATTGTCAATGGAACATTTGTGGTAGATGGAAGAAAATTCGATGTATCTGGGACAGGATTATTTGTTCATGCAATCCAAGGAATGAGACCTCATCTCATTGCTTCCAAATGGAATTTTATTAATTTCCAATCGGACATTTCTTCATTATCAATGTGTGAATTTGAGGCAACACCTTACTATGGTGGTGTGAAGGTTAATCAAGGTAGTTTGATGTTGAATGATAAATTAATTGGAGTATCGATTGATAATAAAGCAGAATTTGTTGAAACTGAATTGGATCTTGATACTGGTTATTGTATTTTTTATATAAATAAATTCTCTTTCCATTCATCTGGGCAATTCACGTGATAAAAGGTTTGCAACAAAGGAACAAATTCAAAATTTTTGTTTTAATTCGTTTGATATTAACTTTTCTGCGTGTAACACTAATTTTAGAGCTGAACATGGTGAATTCGGTAAACTTGTACAACTTTGAAGCTCGAATCCTCCATAACAACATCAACAAAAATGAAATCGTAATTTTTTAGAGAAAAGGGTTCAAAAACACGATTTATTTTTTGGTGTTACATTTACATTTTTGGATTTGAAGGATCTACACGACCAATAGAAATAATTTGGAACAGAATAATGTAAAGAAGGTTTTGTTTGTTTGTTCAGGAAACACATGTAGAAGATAATTTTTAATTATGAATACGTTATTTATTATAATCATTATAATTAAATGACAGATATATTTAATTTTTACAAAGTCCAATGACTGAAGCTGTTTTCAAACATACAGTAAAACAAAAAGGATTAGAATCAAAATTTATAGTAGATAGTTGTGGAACTAGCAATTTTCATGCCGGTAAATATATATATATATGTACATTTTAATAAACATATTACCATTTATCGATTAACAAATAATTGACATTGATTATTTTAAAGGCGACCCTCCTAATTCAAAAAGTGTTGAAGTTTGCAGAAAAAATAATGTGGCTATTGATCATAGAGCCAGAAAAATTTCAAAAAAAGATTTTGATGAGTTTGATTATGTTTTGTGTATGGATGATGCTAATTTACTTGATGCAAACCGTATTAAACCTGAAGCTTCAAAATCGATTGGTAATTCATTATTTTTTTTTTCTTGGATTGGATTTTGGAGTTGTTGATTTATATTTATTAATTAATATTTTATTCCTTTCCCAGTCAAATTATTTGGTGACTATGATCCACAAGGTGAAAAAATTATTAGAGGTAAATACTACCTTTATTTTTTTTAAGAAAAAAAGTTTAAATTAATATGAAATAATAAATCGCTTTATTATGATTTTAATATATAAATCAGATCCATATTATGGTGGGATTAAAGGTTTCGAAGTAAATTTTGACCAAGTTACAAGATGTTCTGAGGGATTCCTGAAAAGTCTGGGTTTATGATAAAATACGCTATAATTTATTATTTCACACAAATTCTTACAAAATTCATTAATAACTATAGTAATAATCATAAAGATAATATAAATAATAATAAAGTTCCAATTAAATCAATATTTTATTTCTGGTGGTGAAACATTTGTTATGTGGTAATTTACAAAGCCCACATAGTATAATGTGCATCATTACCTGGTGGAAAAATTTGTCAGATACAATTGAACAAGGGAATTTTCAACATAGCATAGACATTCAAAGGCTGGTGTGCCTAATCAAACTGGGAATTCATTAATTATATAACGGACAGCTTACCAATTGGTTTACTATAACTATAAGAATGAAAGACAGGCAATCAGAACAAGTTCAGGGTGATCACCACCATTAGTAAAATAAATAATATAAAATCAAGTTAACTTACTCATTCGGAAACAACCTCTAAAATTATGCTGCTCTCCGTGTTATTCTTACAAGAACATGGGGGGAAGATTGCTCCTTTTGTTTTTTAAGTTGGAAGATATTATGGATATCAGCAAGTATTTATTTATAAAAAAACTAAATAATATATGATTTCATCTAGCAGTCAAAGAGAGTCTCTAAAGAGAATAAAACTCTCGTTTTAAAGTAATCAAAGATTGCAAATGAGACTTTGCTAGTAAAATTGATAAGAAGCGTGTTGAGGTATATGGAAAAAAGCTTTCTTATAAAATGACATACCTTACCATGGTACTATTGCGTTTAATCGATCAGTAAATATTATCAAGTTAATTCCTGGGCGATAAGAAAGGAAAAGCTGGGATGGCAAGCAGGTAATAATAAATATAATTCTGTCAAGGATCAGGCATTCGTTGTAAATATTTCCTGGTTTGGTAGTGAAGTAACAAGATTACACCATTTCCCGAAAACTTCATATTGGACATGATAGTTATAAACAATTTGGCAATCAGTTAGCATCGAATGTACAAAATATGTCATAACAGATATATGTATAAAAGTACAAATTAGTTGCTGATCACAAAAAAAAAATTTGTAAAGGTAAATTCACATTTTTTTTTCTACTTAATAATTGCAACACAAAAGCACACATATAATCATAATCACACAAAAAAGTTATACCAGTTTGTAGCTCATGTTCTGAAGATTACATATAAAATTCTATGCTTCCATATTCTCTAAAGCTTTTTTGACAATTAAAAAAAATCTGATTATTCAAAAAAAATTTTAATATGGAATAATTGTTGCTCCAGGATTTTTTTTAACTCATTTTATTTAACATTAAATATGCGGAATTCCACCTGACATCCACATCAAGTTGTTTGTGGTGATAAAACTCGAACAGAATTGCTAACTTTCTTAACTGTATCATCGTGAGCTTGCAGCCCATGCCATGCAGAAAATACAACATTTCTGAACTTCATTATTTCTCATAAAGTATCCACTGAAATAATTTCTAATGTTTTGTGAAGGAACTTGAATGGTTAATGATGCAGAAGGTATAGTTATCAATATTTTGCTTTTGACTGGAATTATTGAAATTATTACCATTGGAATAATTGATGACGACGTAAAAGAACAAATCATTAAACTTTTTTAGTGCAACAAATTCATCAAAATAAACTCTGGTTTGAAGTACGGTTTTAAATTGACGGTTGAACCAGTTTGACAGAACTGTTCACACATCCTTAAAAAACAAATCTGATCTAAAATTAACGAATTATACGAAATTTTAATATTAATGTTAATTTGGTATCTTTTACGACGAAGCAAATATCCTAATGTTTACATATTCGTTTTTCTTCTACTAAGTCATATTTCTTGATTTAACTTGTTCATCTTCTCCCGGGTCTCTCTCTTTCAAGCTAAAACGAAAAGGCAATAATTTAGTTACCCAGTAATTTTTCGACAAGCAAGCGTTCTTTCATCCGATAAAAAAAAAGTAGTTAGTGGCTCTGTTTTTAGTGAAACACACGTAGGCATGCCAATATTGGTATGTAGAGTTGTGTTAACTTGATGATATTTGACCTTTAAGTTAACTGTGCGTAATGATAAATACACAATAGAATAAAAACGCGTTTGAGCTGTCTTTAATATCTAAGTTTGGAATGCACATAGGCTGGTCAATGTTAATATTGGTACGTGGAACCCCCGCCCCCACATAAGACATATTTAAGTAGAGGTTTTTGCAAGTTTTAATTTTGAAGATTTAAATAGAAAACAAAGAATGCTAAAATTCTATCAATTCTTTATCAATTAATCCCGATAGAAATTTAAATAAGCTATTTATTTAACTGCTAAAAAATCCCATTAATGTAATAAAATCTGGATAATTATTTGACAATCAATCCTCTGCAAAAGAAAGAATCGAGTAAATAACAATAAAAGAATCGTGAATAAATAAACGAACTAGTGTTATTTTCGGTACAAAAAAAAAATCATCAAGTTTTATATTTTTATATAATGTCCCACACCAAATTATTAATAACATTATCATCAGAAAGAAGTGAATTCTTATATAAATTTAATAATGAAATGCATAAGAATGCTATATTAATTCTGATGAAGTAGAAAAGATTATTTTTTTCATTGATCAAAAAAAAACAAGGAGCTTTCTGAAAATGAAAATGAATTTTGCAAAGAAAAGTTTATGATGTTAAATTAAGAAGTGCAAAAGATAAATTGGGAAAACCAAAAGAATGTAACAATTGTGTAAATTGACAAAATACTCTGATAGATTCTGTGAAGGTTGCATTAGTTTACAATTA